TTGCCTTCTGGAAAATGAGCAGGTTGAAATATGGTGCAGGCTTCTTAAGACACCGGGGCGTGTTATTGGAAGACTTTTACCCAGAGACGTTCCAGTTATCTTATAGGCCAACTCTGTCACCAGTCACAAGAATTAGACCCCACAAGCTATCTTGGTCGTCTTCATCTAGACTTGAATGGGGGCTCTTAAGACAAACTAAAATATGGTCTTTGTGCTGCTCAGTCTGCATGTGATATGTGATAACTTCACCCACCTAAATCTAAGAGATAATCTTTGCCAAGGACAACAGGGCTAGACTGAGGAGAGTCGATGCTACTGTGAAGAAGGTTGTGAGCGTTCTATGACAAAATCTCCAGAGAGAGCTGAGCCGAGGTGGGGCCACCATTGTTAATGAGTAATAATGTATCCCAGAGTATACTGATAACAGTGGGGCCATTAGAATTGTTCTTTCAAGAGTCAATGCCAATGAGTTTTATTCTACCTTCTGATGATTCATTTTAACTACAAAGAAATGAAAACTAATTATTTTCTAGCCACTGAAATAACAGAATGTTCATGTTGCATTTCCATAATAGCACAGCATAGAGAAAGCCTTCAAATAGGTATCAAACACACTTCCTCTGGCTGGTTTAAGGATTATGTTATCTAGAGAAAATGGAAAGTCATAAGTATGCAGGGATTTTAGTCTTTTTGTATTATTCTCGGTATTAGGCAGGGTTCTCCAGAGAAACAGAACCACTAGGATATATATATGCGAAGAGATTTATTATGAGGAATTGGTTTACGTGACTGTGGAGGCTGAGTTCTTCTTGCCATCTGCAAGCTGGAGACCCAGGAAAGCTGGTGGTTTAGGTCCAGTCCGAGTCTGAAGGCCTGAGAACCGGGAGAACCGATGGTGAAAGTCTCAGTTCAAGGGCGGGAGAAGACTGATGTACAGATCAGCCAGTCAGGCAGGAAGATAAAGGGGTGAATTCCTCCTTCCTCTGCCATTTTGTTCTATTCAGCCCCTCAGTGGATTAGATAATACCTTCCACATTGAGGAGGGCCCTCTGCTTTACTGAGTTCACTGATTGTGATTCTGAAACACCTTTACAGACACGCCTGGAAATTATGTCTAACCTGAGCACCCCTTGGCCCAGTCAAGTTGACACATGAAATTAACCATCACAGTCTCTTTTCAGTTCTTACAATTGATTCTGCAGGGATATAGGCGTATGGTTAACTATGAATTGTGTCTTGTTGAGAGGACGTTTTTATTACTCTAACCCAACCCAGCTACATCAGATCTGAATAGTTCACTTCTCTTTATGGGAGAAAATTATTGTTTCTCCCAACCATAATTACTTATTTATTCATTATATCTTTGTTCTACAAAGAATTGAAGAAACCTAGCAAAATGCATTTAAAACAATGTACTAAGTCTTTTTAAATGAGGAAAGGAGATGGTACAAAGGGGAATATTAGGTAAAAAAAAAAAAAAAAAAAAACCACACACAAAGCTGAATGACAGCATGTGTAGAATACATATCTTATGTTCTGACTAATCACTAAGAGAGAACCCACAATTTTGACCCTAACCTCCTTAGCAATCAAAACATAGTCAGAAATAAGAGCACTTACATAACTTGAAGTATTCATGCAACAGAAAGTTATATTTATTCAGAAGGAAAATGCTTCTTTTGGCACTAACAACCATGCAAGGGGAGTGAGATCTCTGGAGGGTGACATATGTCCGCATTTTTCCCATCTCCTCAGCCAAAACCAGAGTATGGCCTGACCCAAGCATAAGGGGCCAAGAAATGCAATCTTATCATGTGCCCTTCAAATTGGGAAATTGATAATGTCACTAACAACGTCCACACATAGGACTTCCAAAAGTCAAGAAGAGTAGTAGATACTCAACACCATCCCTATTATAAATACACAATGTTATTGAAAGGGCTGAAGTTTTTTACTGTCTATCGCTCTAAAGCAATATGATGTCAAAGGGTTATTTAATAAGAATAATTCTGTTAGAAAACAAGCATTCTTAAAAGAATATATTAGTAGAAGCAATGAAGGGGACTATGCCATCAATACAAATAGTCTTGACAGCTGCATTTATTACATATTAGTGTGTGTCATGTGATGCTTTTGTTCCATTAAAAATGATTTAAATGGAGCCCAAACTAGTTTCTGCCTTGGTAGAGCGTGTACACTGCCTAGGTCAGCACCAGCTGGTCAGCGCAGCAGCCAAAGACGGTATCAAAATTCAAAGAAGGTAGTGTTTCTTAAGAAAAGGTCAGTTTTGCAAGTAACTATGAGGAAACTCTCCATATCATGCTTATACTTTTTATTTGAAAAACTGACATTTATCTTGATGTGACATTTTCTTAATACCTTAATGACTTTTGGTTGAAATACCAACATGCAGAGAGAAAATCATCATGTAAAAGCAATATTTTTATTTATAAAGTATACCACTATTAGATGACAGTGTTGCCAGCCACAACCAGTCTGCAGACCATTATAAGGACAATTATTTAAAAAGCACCGCCTTTGGTGCTATTGCTTTTATTCTTATCTAGAAGTTTCTCATTCACCTGGGCCCTAGAGAGTCCACAAAGTTGACAGGTCAATGACCCATGACTATACTTGTTTCTTAATTTCCATTTCTAGGAAATTCAAGAGAAGAATCAGAAGACACTGACCCAGGCACTAGAGAGGAAAGTCAAGAATGGGGAATTCTTTTTTTTAAGATTTTATTTTTTCCTTTTTCTCCCCAAAGCCGCCTGGTACATAGTTGTATATTCTTAGTAGTGGGTTCTTCTAGTTGTGGTATGTGGGCCGCTGCCTCAGCATGGTTTGATGAGCAGTGCCATGTCGGCGCCCAGGATTCGAACTGATGAAACACTGGGCCGCCTGCAGTGGAGCGCGCACTTAACCACTTGGCCACAGCGCCAACCCCAAGAATGGGGAATTTTTAATATGCTGAATAAAAAGTGTACTTGGAGGGCCCAAAGGTTCTTTCTACAATAAAGTCAGGCCTGTTATCTGTTTATTCACTGTATCTTCTTAACTCTTTTATAACATTAAAGAAGAGGCATACCAAATGAATATTTGCCTCCAGGAGTTATAAAAAAGTGATAATAAAAATAATTATTTGAATGTTTGCTACCAACAACAACAAAAGCCTTTGCCCTCAGTTGGTGATCAAACCCCTCCATAATGAAGTTTAAAAAGAAAAGTCATGCAAGTGAAAGCTGAATTCTCAGCCTTTGTGCTTCTTTTTCAGTTCCAGAAACAGTATTTTAAACGTCAGTGTCCAGGTCTATATCTTGATGTAAAACTTGCCCCATTCCCTTTCAAGAGGCAGTCTTGACTGCAATTACACTATCTAAAGACTGAAGTGAAAAATTGGATTCTTGACTCACCCCGGCAGGTTAGCTTTTTATGCCCCAGTGATATAAGAGACTGGTTAACAAGTCCTCCCCATGCATGGCTTTAAACGTTATTGATGGCCCTAAAGCAATTCCACCCTTTTTAAAATCTTTTTGTGTGCCTGGTCTTGTTATCACCATAGGAGTGACTTACATGCTGTGGGCTTATGATTCACAGAGAGAGTTTCCTGTCATTTGTCTTACCTTCATGACATTACAATTTCACTAAATATTCCTCTGGTTTCCATATTAGCAGAAAGGGCAGAAGAAGTGTCAGACTGGTGCTCCTGTATGTTATGTGCTGTCACCGAATACCCTCTTCATTCTTTATCCCCTTTCATGTGAAATCATTCTAGATTACATATTTGAGGCACCTTCCAGGACCTCTGGTTCCTCCTGTTGCCTTTCCTGAGACTTCTCAATCCATCTCTTCAACTGAAGTTATGAAAGTCTTTTTCTTAAATGCAAATGGACATGTTTTCCATACAGCAGTGATTCTCAACCATTGCTGTGAATTACAGAAACCCAGGCTCCACTCTCAGAAATTCTAATTCAGAACATCTCTGTAATAGAGTCTAAGAATATCTGATTTTAAAACCAGAGGGGATTCTCATTTGCATCCAGAGTTTATCAGAATTGTGGGGAAAATGGCCTTGGAAACTTGATTTCTGAGTTTTCTCCCTTCATTTCTGTACAAAGACCAAAAATCAGCACCCAAATAGTCCTCTTTGGGACCTGTCCCAAGGAGGGTCATACTCTCGATTTGGAAGATTTAGAAACAATAGCTTACCTCCAAACCATCTGCAACTTTTTCTTCTCAGTGGACATCATTTCCAAGAATCCAAAAGTAGGATCGCAGTTTAATAATCTCTCTTGTCCTTTCTGTCCACCTACTTTTTCTCCTCTTCCCCACCAAGTAAAAACAATACACACAGAATGTCTGGAACTATCAAGATCCCAAGACAGTAACTAAGAATCAGAATTAAGAGGCAGTGTAAAATTTGTCTAGGAGCGGTCCCATCTTTCCATCTATAAGCCAATCCTCTTTCCCCTGCTTGTTCTGTGGAATGAGATGGGAAAGAGAAAGAGAGAAAGGTTTAACAGATATACTCATTGATAAATCCTCATTTAAATATATCTACATGCCAACATTGCCAATTCAACACTTAATGAGTTCTACTCTGAGGCATTGTGGTTTAAGTACCAAAGCTAAGGGGGTCTATGGAATATGTGTCTAAGCTTGGGATTACTCAGAAAACCAGGCAGTGGGGGAGGCAAAACCCTATGCCGTTATGGAGAGCTCCAAAAACAAAATTTGTTGAGCATAAACTATTTTCCAACTTGGTCATCCAACCAATTACTTTGATGCAAGTCAAACATAGTAAAATGAAAGAGCATTGGATGGAGCTCAGTGGCCTCCATCCTGGCCCCACATCAGCCACTCATTCGTCTCAGGGTTCTGATCTGCTGTCTATGGATTTCCAAAGCCTCTTCCTGTTCTATTTTCCCAAACTATTTCAATCACCCTACTAACTCTCTATTTCTTATATAATTCTCTTTCTGATTCTTTATCTTTTGCAGATTCTGTTCATGGGCATGATGACTGAGTACTACCACTACTTTTTCACAACCCTGGTAAGCACATCCAGTAGAAATGCATTCCACACCATAGGAAACATCTCCAGTTATTTTAAAGTCATCCCCACCAGTGTCAAAGGCAGGATATTGTCATGGAGATTTGCCTTACGTTCCTAAGTATCCTCTAAATCCAGAAATGCTGAACAGCAGGTTTCTTTCTTTCTTTTTTTAACTAGCATCAATGCATGTGCATCCAGAAAGGGATTAAAATGAAACTTCCATTAAATAGAAGCTGTCAAAGTGCAAACTATTCATAAAGAACCATCATCTACATTTTATATATACATTAGAAGGCACACTGAAGTGTACTGTGGCATTCTTTGATCTGATGTGGTTTACCCGCCTGTGTCCCGTAGATAGCTGGGTTAGGCAGGGGTCACCTGTCAGGTGTTTGGAAGACTGTCAAGAAGAGGAGCTTAGAACACGCTTTGCACATTGAACATGTTGTACCATGAGAAAAATCATGGCTCTAAGCTTGAGAAATTCTAAAGAAACTACAATGCCTTAAATTTTGAGGGACTGTCAGATCAAGGGAGAATGATTTAGGGTATTTAAAACATCAAAATGATGTGATAGCTCTCATTCGATCACTTTCAAAAATCAATCACACGTACACAATACCACCCCCCCCATACACACACACATACTCCATGTTTCTTACCTAAGTTGAAAACACAGAAGCAACCTCTTTTTCTAATCTGTAAAGGTGTGTTGCCTAAAATCTACCAAGATTCCAGAAGCCTCAGTAAAAATACCATTTTACCAAACAAAACTGGCAAGGTAGGCTGGTGAGTAAGGGAAATGAAAGAATTTGGAACAAGGACCAGGCAGCTGTTATGTACATACTACCGATCGAAATGGTGAATTCCATTCCTAACTCATGTTTCTCTAAGAGCATGCAGGGCTGCAGAGACATCAAGACACAAATGCCTTGGGGCATTTGGCAAAATCATTACTGCTCCTGAGCTTGGGGTGAGACAATATGCAACAGGGCAGAAGTTTCCCTCCCTTGTTGACATCTCGATTGGGTCCCCTATCAGAACAGTGAAGGGAAAACTTGAGAACTGAAAAGTGTCTTACTCTGCTCACAAATACTGGCCTTCCCCCATCGCCATGAACACCTGGGTATTCACAAGGTGTTATGGCCATCTGCCTCAGAACTTTCTACCATCTCCAGCTGTACACACCCTTTAGAGCTGGTTTTGGAGAAACGAGAAAGAATATGAACAATCAAACCTAAGAAGGCTGGTCTTCGAAGGAGACCCTTGAGGGATAGACAGGTTGCCCTCATCCCCTTACTTTCCTCATCCTTCACTCACAAAGGGATATTGAAAATCACACCTTGGATTCTGCACATTCTCGATTGCACAAAAACCTCAATTTGAAGGCTAACGTAATTTTACACGTTTAATGTATTCATTTTAGGACATTGTATTTATGTACTGTTGAATCCATGAGGGATTCAATATGCATTCTGGAAGTTTCTGTCTGACCTTCTATAGCTTGAATAAGTTTCCTTTTATTCATTGAATGTACTAAAGGAATTGTTCTTTCTTGGATCTTATTCTTTAAATTCGCTTCTTTAAGAATTTTCCTTAGGTTTTATCTACAGTTTGCTCCACTTTGCTTTTATATCCTTGCCTTTCTTGCCCAGGAGTATTAACAAAACTTAGAGAAAAAAGAAAATTAGTTACGCACTGCAAGGGAAAAAATATATAATACTTTAAAAGGCAAGACTTTTTTTCTGATACTGAGCTTGGAACACAGAGCTATGCTCTTATAAGTCTGCAGTCTAATCAAAGTTATCTTGGGAAAGGGTAGAAATGTAGAGAGGAGTTATTCAAAAGAAAGAATTTGTATGCATCTTCTGCAAATACAAATCATGGAGTGTTTCTGAAGCTACGCCTCTTTAATAACCACTATCGTCACTGAGAAGGTACTATCTTGTATTGCACTTTCATAAAGCAGTTCCATTGTTAGAAAATTTTTATGGAAGTTTTTTTTCTTGTTCAAAGTTATTTTGAAAATTTATTATATTCTTAAATGTGTTATATATTTTTAACCATATATTTTAGAGTCTAACCTTTATATATAAGAAAAAAGTTGAAATGATCACATTTTTCATGTGAATCAACATAAACTTCTGATTTACACCCAGCCTCATCTGTAAGGGAAAATACACTGTGGTGGGTTAAAGCCTTTTTCCTAAAACATTGTCTGAAGTGGAACAAGTTCTATTCTTAAGATACACACGTCCACACAACCATATGTTCCAGTTTGTTCTCTGAAGAGAACACTGCGGTTCTTATTCTGAGCTTGTGTCTACTAAGCATTCTTCACGCCCTCATTGTATGGGACAAGAGTTATTTTCAGTGATCCAGGGAATGGTATTTTTTCCTGCTTGGACTGATCTTCCTGTCAAATACATATGCAATTTCCAAATTTCACCTCCTGGGGCAGACTGAGACGGCAAAATGTGATGGAGAAGGGTGGTACTGCCACTGACTAATGGATCACTCTGGGGCCAATTGCAACACCACTCAGACCCTCAGTTTCCTCATCCAAAAAAACAAAAGCATTTAACCAAATGGACACAAAGATTGCTTCCAATTCCCCAAAGACTGTATACTAGGAAAAGAATTCTCTAGCTTCTCAAATGTCATATTCTGTGCTCAAGAGTGTACTAGTTATTGGCAGTCAAATTCCTCTTCTTATTTATCTAAACTCTTAACAGTATTGCAAAAAATGGATGGCAATGAAAACTGCTTACTGCCTTAGAGTTTCTCAAGCAAAATGCAAATGAAAAACGAGAAATGATCTTTTATAGAAATGATGCGATGCTGGCTGCCATTTTTGTTTAATCTATTTGTTGCTTCTGCAATCATTAATTCTCTTTTGCATGAAAAGCATTGAAAATGTTAACTCCTTTCTACTTTTATCATTTTTAATACTGCACAGGACTTATTTGCTTTAGATCTGGAACTCTATAGGTACAGTGGCGTAAATATGACTGGGTTTCGGCTGCTTAATATTGACAACCCTCACGTGTCATCCATCATTGAGAAGTGGTCCATGGAGAGATTACAGGCTCCACCCAGGCCCGAGACTGGCCTCTTGGATGGCATGATGACAGTAAGTAGTTTTAAAATAGTCATTTAAAATAATGTTTGAATTCCTTAGGGGTTAAGTTAAAAGTCTTATATGCCTTCTATAGTGTGAGAAAAAATGTTATAACCTATGCCTTGACTTCTCTGTGGGAAGAAGGAGTAAGCTTTTTAGGTATTTTGACAGCTTGTGCATGACTACTCTCAAAAACTGCTATTTTCAGCTTCCTCACTATACTTGTTCAGATAAAAATGTGAACAAGAGTAGCCACCACCGTCACTCAAATGGAGACAAAGCAGAAACCAAAGCAAGGGCAAGTGGAGAGAGTTTTACTGCTGGGAATGTGGCCTTAAGAAGGAGGGAGGGAAGGAGGAGGAACATGCTGCCTATGAAAGTTATGCAGAACCAGTTTGCCTTCCTCGCTTCTGCCATGTCTCAGCAAACAGGAGCACACGTGGAAAAATGCCAGATGTACCTACAGTGGGTGCGTTCATGTTCTTGGTGTCCTGGAGATGTACAGGCACACCTTTGCAGACATTGACAGTGCTTCATACCAGCCATATGTCGCTCTTGAAGCAAATGCCAAGCCTGCCCCCTGACAGGAGAGAGGGACTCTCTTGAACAGATAAATTGCAAACTGTCTCATCAGAGAGCTTCTCGCTGACATCATTTGTCTTTTTTGTCAAATGCACCTACTCTCGCTTTATTTCTCTAATGAAGCTCCCTGTGAGATGAAGAAAATAGCAGGAAATACAAAAAAAAAAAGCTTTCTATGTAGGAACAGTGTCATCTAAGGGGAAAGCTACTGCAAAAGCATGTAGGTAATAGCATTTTAAATTGGCATAGTATTTCATTCTCTGTTCCCATCACGGGGAGAAGCACTGTTGCTCTTAAGATGCAATTTACCGATACCTGAAAGGTATCATCTCGCAGAGAAATGAACTTGGGATTTCTTTTCTCTTTCTACCTCTTTTTTTCAAGGAACAAATGAAAAGAAGAAATAAATGAGTGAATTAAGTGGTTCCGGATGATTCCATGTTCAAGGTCCTTGACTGTTTTTTAAACCTAAAATGACTCTTAAAATATACCAACTGATCTGAGACATAATGATGGAAAGCATTTTGGTCCAAATGAGCCTTGGGGTGATTTGAAACATTTTTTTGAACAAGAACAAGTAGAGAATATCCAAGGAAACACCAGACTTCTGAAAGGGAGGGGAGAAAGCTAAAAAGAGAGAGAAATTTGCTAATTTGTTGGTTTTTCTCTTCTTTCTCTTGGATTCATAATTCCATTGAGTTCAAATATGGTTCAAAATCCTCTGCCCACTGTGACCCCAACCCCCACCACCTTCCAACAAAATTTCTGTCACAGGACGAGATCTCAAATCATTTTTACCTCCCCTTGTATGGCCCAGTTAAAGAGTTACAGCTTGGAGCATTGTTAACACAGATTGTGGAGTCACACCAAACATTAAATACTCACCTCTTGTATGGCTTAGTTCACCAAAGAAAGTGTCTGTTGTGTGAAATTATACCGAACTGACAGAATAGTTTGTCCATAGTGACTGAGATGAGGCAAACGACTGAACGAAGGAGATAGAGCCATGCAATTCACACCACACCAAGCTGAGCGCGAGGCATGTTGTTGCCCTCCCAGGACTGCTGCCTAGGCAGGAAGCATCATAGCACAGCCAAGTCCCAAAGAATAGAAGAAGTCTCGCTCTACCTAAAGTTTATTACTGTCATCTCACCTAAGAGAGGGATTTCTCTGCACTGTTTTTATTGTTCTTATTATTATTGTTATAAACCATAAAAAAGGGGGGGATTTATCAGAACAGAAGAGTGTGGTTCATGAGGGTGCTAAAAGCAGGGAAAGTGGCTCTATCAGGTCATGTCGGTACTAGTCAAAATAATGTGGTGGAATGCAGTGCCTACTAGCAGTTGGATCCCATAGTCGTGCAGATACAGCTTTGACACTGATTCTGTGAAGCGTAATGCTGACCTTTATTTACCCAAAGAGTCACTTTGCAGTTCACTGTTGCCTTCCTGCTTCTAGGAGAGTGGCTAATTTGGGGATGTAGAAATGAAGTCACAGAAGGTTTAAAGGGAAAGTAAAAGGGCATCCAATGGCTTGATAGCTGAGTCCAGAGAGCACACCCAAGTCCCCAAGCCTGGGCCTAGTGCTAGCAAAGCTTTGTTCTCAAGTTGCCTCTGTAGTCAAACTCTTTCTTCTCTGCTTTAAAGATAAAAAGCTCTGTGCTTTCAATTCCACTGGGTCTACATATTTCAGGTCCTACATTGCGTTTATTCGTGAATCTCTAGCATTTGTTGCTCCCAATGCCGAGAATCTTCCCCTATATAGGTTTGCTCAAATGCCACTTCACCAGAGAGGACTTCTATGAAGCTTCTGCCTAAATAGGAGCCCCCTCCCTGTCATTCTCTGTCCTCTAACCTGCTTACTTTTTTTTTTTTTGGAGGAAGATTAGCCCTGAGCTAACATCCGCCGCCAATCCTCCTCTTTTTGCTGAGGAAGGTTGGCCCTGAGCTAACATCTGTGCCTGTCTTCCACTTTTCCGTATGTAGAATGCCTGCCACAGGATGGCTTGGCTTGACAAGTGGGATCCAAACTGGCAAACCCCGGATGCTGAAGCAGAGCGCGTGAATTTAACCACTACACCACCAGCCGGCCCTTCCTGCTTACTTTACACTGTAGCCCTTATGATCCAATATGTTATATTTTAATTTGTTTGTCCAGTGCCTTCCCTTACAAGAATATAAACTCCATAAAGACAGACTTTGTCTATTTGTGCTCTGCTCTATCCCCAGCACTAGAAAAGGCCTAGCGCAAAGCAGACCTACATATTAAAGATGTATTTAATAAAGGAATTAATGTACTAAATACGTATGAATTGAGCTTCTACTAAGACTCAAGATATTAAATGAAAAATATGCATATAGCCCTGCAATAGTTCCGTAAAAGTCCGAAGACAGCTTCTGTAAATAAGAAATAGGTGTGATTAGTGAAAATAGAGATTATTCTAAAGGAGTAAAATATTATTTCAAAAATTAACCATGGAATAACTGCTATTAATGTTTAAGTAATGCCGTTACTATAGTAGAATTGCTTTCTCCAAAATCATATGCATTATCCTGCTATTTGCCAAGGTGAATTTCCCTGTAGCCATGTATACTCATATTTTTGTGTGTGCTACACATATACAGATGCCTGTATGAATATATCATATAGGAATGTTTTTAAAACCCACGTACTTTACTTCCCATCTACTTATTTATGCTTCTATTTAATATTTTCAACTATTAAGAATTTCTTAGAACTTCATACACTAAAAATATATTCAAATAATATTATATATGTCAAAACACATCCCAATCTGAAAGTAAGAAGTCATCTCCAAGTGGAAAAATTTTGACTCTAGACTTAAGAGCCATAGATTTAATTAACGCAAAAAAAATATTAACTTTAAAAATAGGGTTAAAATTGACTTAATTAAGAGAACTGTTACTGAGTCAATAGAGCTCAAAAGTAGTGAAACTCGTTATTTAAAAACATCTTGAAATTAAAAAAAGAAATAGGTTTGTCAACCAAAGTGTTAATTAACTCAACAGAAATTTGGAGTGATTTTATAAAATTTATTTCATTTCTATTCACCATGTTTAAATATCTCTCGACATTTGGACTGATTCAATCTACTGGCTTTGGGATAGGCTGGATATTGAGGTGGCCCATTCTCAGAAAGATTCTTCTCTAATTGTGAACCAAAATTGTGTATGACCCAATATGCCAAACACACAAAAATAACACAACGGCGATCTGTCATCTGCTTTCTCAGTTCTTCAAGCACATTCACAATGTGAAGTTATATCAGTAGCTTTATCTTGCATGTGAGCGTTTCCGATAATCATGATCCACAGGGAAGATCTTTGAGTGTCCACCTTGAGTGTCCACTGCTACTCTGGTGATGAAAGAGAATAGGAAACAGGATTCAGTGGAAAAAGGAAGATCTTTCCAGATGAAGAAAGCCTAGAGTTAAGTCCTTGCTCTGTCTGCTGAATAACTAAATAACCTGAGTGAGTTATTTATCTTCTCTGAGACTGCTTGCTCATCTGTAAATCTGTATAATAATACTTCCAGTGTTAGGCTACAAATTAAATTAGATAGCATACACCAAGCCTCCAGGACATAGAATTGAATTTATTAGATGGTACCTACTGTTTTGCCAATTTGTAGTCAATAAAGGAGAAACAAAAGACATTCAGAAATACCAAGGCAGAATCTTTATTCTGCCTTGAATAAGGCAGAACCCATTTGTTTACAAGAGACATATTATTTGGTTTGCACATGGAGCCCAAGATGGTCCCTTATTAGGGACCTATGTGACCTTGTGTGGCCCGTGGAATCACCCAGTTATATTTTCCAGCTCCACGTATAGTCCTCTTTTAACAATTCCTCATTGTCTCTCAAAATCTGGCAATTGTTCATTGAGATTCACAATATGCCAACCTCTGTACCAGGTCTTGTAGGACCTGCTGGAGTTGCTGTCTGAATTACTGAATTTCTAGATTGTGAGTATGTGCTAATAGCTTTGCTACCTTCCCCAGCCAGTGTCCAAACCCCTGTTCACTTGCAGTTTGCTCTTCCCAGCATCCTGGATGCCTCGGATGCTCACTGCCTCTTCCACCACTTTGGATCCCTCAGTAGCATCCACTCCCACAAGGGAAGCTAGCTAATTCATACCAAGAGGCAAATTTCTGTTAGCTCAATGCTGTGGGTGAGATATTTGGATTTTAATAGAGGAAACTGTTTACACCAAGTGTGAGAGGAAGCTCAGGAAATGAGGGGGAAAGAGTGTTATTTGGGAGTACTTCCCTCCTAGAAAACAGCTTTGTCTATCCATATCCAGTTAGTGAATGTTTCTAAATTTGCGGAGAAGATGGGAAATCTATACTTTTTGCCCATTTGCTCCCCCAAGATTAGGTCTCCCTTCAGCACCTCAATCCCCTCTAGCTTTTTCCAACAACAGTTACATACCAGGCAGACAGCAAAGTGTGGGGACTCTATATGCCATCCTGTTTTGTTAGTCCTCATCCTTAGATGAGGTAGCATCTCATTGGATTGTGTTGGGGCCCCCAAGACCACATTCAGGTTTGACGATTTGGAAGAAGGAGCCACGGAAATCAGAAGAGCTGTTATACTCACAGTTATGGTTTATTATAGCAAAAGGATACAGATTAAAATCAGCAAAGGAAAAAGTTGCAAAGGGCAATGTCCAGAAGAAGCCATGCATGAGCTTCTGGTGGTCCTCTCCCAGGACGGCTGCATTGGCAGTGCTTCATTCTTGTAGTAAAGACATATGAAAGCATTTATGAAGTGTTGCCAACCAGCTAAGCTCCCTCAAGCCTTGGTGTCCAGGGTTTTTACTGGTAGTCGGTCACGTAGGCATAGAGCACCCACATAGCTGACCTTAGTCACTCAGTCTTCAGCCATTCCAGAGGTCAAGTTGATATAGCATGACCCAGGGCCCCAGAGGAACAAAAATAGACATTCACCATAAATCCCATTGGTAGCATAAACTGTCTAGCATCGCCCAAGGCCTGAGGGATGTAAAAACACTCCAATCAGGAGGATATTCCAAGGATTCAGAAGTCATCTCCCAGGAGCCAGTCAAAGGCCAGTCCTTTCCTTGGAATGTGCAGAGTTTGAGCACCCTGAGCCCACTGAGTTAACCCTTTACTGTGCATTGTTGTAATAACCAAAACACCGTGTATTGGAGAGAAGCTGGCTTTCCATGTGCTTATTTCATGATCCATGTTGTAGTAAAATGATTCTCTTGGGTACAATGAGCAATGTGGTTTTATCCAGGCTTTAGATATAAATAAAATGCAAACATAAGCACATCTGGAAGAATAAAATTTGCAATACAGGCCAATTTCTTTTACATTTACCTAAAATGACTTGAGTTGCTGTTCAGGAAGCAGGCCTCCAGCACAAAACCAAAAAGAAGAGGAAATTCAGTGGTAGTTTATTAGTGCTATAAAATAGAGTAACTGTCCCCTCCATCTAAGAAAACACTGTATGTCAAGGGGAAGCATAATTTTAGGATAGACTGTTTTCTTCTTTGAATTTGGAAAGCATTGATCCGGCCTGTAGTTCTGAACTGTGTTATTACCCAGCTCAGTGTAGAAGCAGGCTTGACAAAGGAAGTCAAAATCCTTTCTAAGCTAAGCTTATGGAAAAGTTAGACCCTTGGAATCCCACTTCTGACACTTTATCAAATCAATCAGTCAGTTAGTGACTACACATACAAATTCATAAAAAAGTAGATTCTACTGCTAAAAAGGTCCAGGTCCCCATAGCATAGTGACTAAGTGCGTAAGCTCTGAATTCTAAGTTTATATCTTGAGCACGAGTCCTCATTTCTTGCCTTACTGGCTATATAACTTTAGGCAAGTTATTAAAGTTATTTCCTAAAGTTATTTCTCTAAGCCTCAGTTTCTCTGTCTGTAAAATGGGAACAATACCTATTTCAAAGATTTAGTTGCAGTAATTAAAGGAGACAACATGTGTAAAATGCTTAGAGTGCCTGACATGTAGTAAATTGTCAATGAATATTAGCCATTATTGAGCTATTGTAATTATTAAATCATCAGATGAATACTTGCTTTAGAGGCAGTTCTGCTTCATGGCTGAGAGCATAAAACCTAGCACCAGCTTGCTGGGTTTGAATCTTGGCTTTCCCACTGCGAGTTTGGGGGAGCCATTTTACCTCATCATTTCTTTATCCATGAAAGAATAAAGGTTACGGTCAAGAATTTGGAACATATTTAGAACAGCACCTGAATATGATAAGAGCCCAATAAAAGTCAGCTATTATTATTGATCGCATTTCAAAAAGTATCATTCTGCCAACGGATCACTCTCCTTCAATTACACCATATTAGTATAGCAGAGTAGCGAAGAACATAAGCATTAGAATCAGACAGTCATGAATTCAAACCCTGGCCATGCAGCTGATTAGCAGAGTGGCCTTGGACTAGTCAGTCACTCAATTTCCCTGAGCTCCAGTTTTCTGGTACATACAATGGATGATGTCAGTTTTGAATTGAAATGATCAAAACATTTTTAAGCTTTAACAATCACCACTACCACCATTACCAAGTTAACTTCTATATGTTGATCACATAAATATGAGTGAAATGATTTATCTTAGAAATACATCTTAAAACCTTGAGATTATACAGTTCTCACAAAAATGTATTCTATCTTAAGGCATGAAATAACATTAATTCCTTCAGTAAATATTTATTAAACAACTTTTATGTGTCAGTAACTGTGCTAGCCTCTAAAGAATGAAGTTGAGCAGCTTCTGCCCTCAAGAAACCCACATTCTTATTGAGAAACAGATGTGACTATAAATACACATGGAAAATGCAATGATAAAGAGTGCATAAGGTAATAAAGATTCAAAGTAGAAATATTCTCTGCACTCAAAGATGGATAGGATGCAAGATGTAGTAACACTTATCTTGTCTTTCCATCCCCATTAAGACATGCTCAATAAATGCATAGTAAATGTTGAGTGAATCAACTAATTTCAGAAAATCACATGATAATCTTCATGCTATGATCCAGATTCCAGATTTAACTCTACCAATTACCAGCTATATGTATGACCCTACAAAAATCAATATGTTGTTTGGAGGTCAGTTTTCCTACATAATAAATCATTTTATCTATCTGTTCTGCTTATTTTGAGAGGTTGTTGAGAATTTCAAATGAGCTCATGTATTTGAAGTTGCGATGAAAACCCTCAAGTAAAATATGAAGATATTATAAGACTTTATCCTTAAAGAAAACCACAGGGCAGTATATTTTATAAAATGCTGGAAATTTTCTGTGAAATTTTGCAAGTAAGAGAAATTTCATGAGGAAGAGAAGAATGAGAAGCCCAGCCCCAAAAATGAATGAAAACTTAAAATCTCCATCAGGAAAGCAAATATTGACAAGGACAGGCATATTCTGAGCAAGTTACACAAGTCTGTTCTCAGAGAGTCTATCCCAGAGTCTTTCCCAGATTCTTGCTGTTGAATTTGATTCCATGTCTACAACCTTCTTGACTCTGGTAAATGGAAGTGACCAACACAAGTATCCTTATCTGGAAATTACCTGTTAGTTTTACTTGCGTCAGTTTCTTTCTACCAAATAGAAACAAGTAAATAGATATATAAATAGATATAAATACTGAGAAACAGTCTGATATTGAAATAGCGAGCTTTAGTAGCTTCTAACTCAATGCAGTTGATCTTAACACTATGCTTAACATAGAAGACACTCCAAAAATATTTGTTCCCTGAATCAAGTCTTTTGCGACTGATCTGAGTTGCTTTTTTTAAAGAATTCAAAACAAAGCAAAGCTACGACTCCAATTTACTGTGGAGTAGGAGGTATTATTTTAGAGAAAAATAGCTATTGGAGAATGAAAACTGTTCAGCTGGAGAATAAATGGCAGTTGAGATCAGACAAATAGGAAATAAGGAAGCAGACAGAATGATTATGCAGGTAAAGGAAGATAAGCAAAGGTGGAATTGAAGATGTGGTGTGTGTTTTCCTCCACAGACAGAAGCAGCTCTGATGTACGACGCCGTGTACATGGTGGCCATTGCCTCCCACCGGGCTGCCCAGCTGACTGTCAGTTCCCTACAGTGCCATCGACACAAGCCATGGCGCCTTGGACCCAGATTCATGAACCTGATCAAAGAGGCAAGTGCTGCTCACTCACAGCACAGTTCTTCCTTTGGCTTATTGCTGTTTGACTGTTCATTTAATGTGATCTTCCCATATAGCTTTGTTGGTATGATGTCTATAAAGGAAGAGAAGCCATCGTCAACCAGTCTGCTGGGATTTCACTGTTAAAAGTTTATGTAGAAGAACTGCCAGGAATTTTCCAGTGTATTTTTGAGAAGTTTAAAGAAGCTACCAGATCATAACACTCACCTTCCTTCATTTCAGTGATGGCCTCAACTGCTGCTGACCCTCCACCCATGTTCATAAGATCCCATAGGTGCTTATTCCAGGGTCATTGAGTCAAGGAGTGGGTTGGTCCATCACTGAAGAGTACCAGATACAGTTCTCACTTTGTCAGCCCATAAACCCAGTGGTTTCCTAATTCCCAGGTTGTGCAGGACTAAATGGAAGGACATCTTTGTCCTCCGACATATAGATATTTTGCCGTTTGTCAGCAAACTGGAAAAGTCCGGTCCCATTCAAAACCTACCCAGTGTACTAAAGGATTTTCAAGGGTAGAGGGTTTTTGAGGGAGGAAAGTTCTTCACTATCGCCCTGGGATCCTGGACTACCCCCCACCCTTTCTTTTTCCCTAAGGTAATTTGGCTTCTCTTCACCAGACCCTGTTTTAAGATCCTGAGATTCCTTATAGATATGTATCCCTGGATTATATTTGATCTCAACATGCACCTCAGAGTGTGTCTGGACTTGCCAAGATGAAATAAGGCACATGGGAGCAGCCAGGCCTGACTGAACATACACCCTGTCATATACTCTGTGATGCGGCTCTGTTGTCTCTAAGGGATGCAGAAATTTACCTCTCAAGTGAAGAGTATCTTTATTCTTCTTTGTACTGGAGAAGGTTGGGGTGAGACAAAGCCATAAAAGAGAAGAATGGCAGGAGACATAGCACAAGAGAAGAATGCCAGCCAAGAGCAAGGGAGACATCCTAAAGAAAGATACTTACTTTGGACTCTATCTCTGCTGGTCTCTTCAGCACCTGCAGACCTTTTCTTTGGCCATTCAATCTACTTCTCCACTGAAAGCTGACCTTGATCCATAAGGGTGAGGACCAGAGAGGCAGGATGGATGAAGGTTAACACTACCCAGACTCCAAAGCAAGGCCATTTGCAAGGCTGGGTCTAGGGAGTGGCAAGCATCAAAGGAATGCCCTGAGCACATGATTTAAGGAAGCCCTCACTCTCAGGTTTGAATCCTGCACTTGCAGGAGACTGAAAGGGAGTGCCTCCTTAAATTTTGCTGCTTGGGTTGGGTTAGGATAAAGAGTAAGGTTAACACTTGTGAAGAATACAGCAACATAGTAAGAATCTGAAATATTAGCTATTGTTTTACCATTGGAACGGACCACTAGTAACGGCCTCATTCGGTTTACTGAGGATGATGCCAAGAATTTAAAACTGACAACAACAACAAAGAAGTCACAAATAGGCATGAAATGAAATACCCTTTCTGACAGCTACATAAATCTGACATACTGTGCCTAATAGAAAAACATCACACAGCCTCTCCTGTCCTGGCAGCGATCACGGTTATGTCCTGAATCTCCATCCTGATCACCTTGATCTTTAACAAGAAAACAGCTGGTTTCCTTTTATCTCACACCAGTGCAAGGAGAGGCAAGAGGCCACATGAAAGCTTGAGATCAAACACTCAGAGCACCCCAAGCACCTTTTTGCTTGTACTTAAGTTGCATAAGAAGGTGAAATTACCAAGCCACATTTAGACATGTTTAAAGAAATAATGAGCCCCAGGACAAGGGAACACATTGAAAGCAAAGAAGAGCTTTGCATTCATTTACTCCAAAGAGCAAATTCCTCCATTCTTAGGCTCCACAGTTGGGCGGTGGAAGGAAGAGAGTGGATGCATTAGAAACCTTTATCACCAATGTGCTCATCCTTCCTTTGTGTCCTGCGCCATGATGCCATATGCTACCTTCTATAGGGCGTAGGTACCTGCAGAGAAGATGGGATTGTGGGTAACCAGGATCAAAGCCTCAGCTTATTGAAGGACTGGCAATGAGGGAATTCTGAGACAAACTAAAACATGTGGAAGTGAAAAAATACAGATGTTTCCTTCAATGAGTACCTAATTCCAAAAAGCATTGCAGGAGGGAAGTTTTATTAGGAAACATGCAATAAGGCACTTGGTCCTAAAACTTCCCTAGGTTTTTTCTTTTAATAACTCTCACTTTCTAATATTTCCAAAACTAGAATCGGAAATAATGTGAAGGAGCAAGTCAGCAGATTGAATTTATGGGGTGAAGATCAAATTCGTCACAGGAGGTAAACTCCCAGAGCCGACAGGGAGCTGCGTGGGCACTAATCCCTGATCACTCTACACATCATTTAGAACCAGTAAGCCTTTCAGACCAGCCTCTCTAGCTAAAACCTTTCAGTGTTTGGGGCTGACTAGAAAGAGGGGAAGAATTAAAGAACATTTTAAACATGAAAGGGTGTGTTATAGTGTCATCTCTCTGGGCATCTGTTGAACAAATGTATATAAGGAGATTATAAATTCCCATTTGACAACCATAACCGGGACTCCATTATGTAAGTAACATGAACTTGGCACCATAGGGAAATATCTCCTCCAAAATTATAAGATGTGGTCTCTACTATCTACTAATAAGAGTTCTACGTAGTAGAGGAATGACAGGCTTCATTTGAAGCTTTCGTATGCCACAGGATAAAACCTACACTCATCAGCAGGATATGCAGAGTCTCTAGTGATTTAGTTCCTGCTCCCCTCTGCCATCTCCCTCATCTCCTGGCTCATCTCTAGCACTTGCTGAACCTATTGTGGCTCGCTGAACTTGCCATGTGCTCCTGCCAAATTCCTTTGCCTCTAACTGGAATGCCTCCTCTGGGTCATCCTTTATGTCTCAACTCAAGCTCTAGTTCCTATCTGCTGGCCCTGACTCACAAATGTAGGCTCCTTAGCTCCATGGCAGCTGTTGGTAGGCCATCATACTTGTCCACATGTCTATCTCCAAGCTGTGTTTTCCAGTCTCGATTCCCTAGTTCTTGCACAATGCTAGGTGTAGAATGAGCACCCAATAAATAGGTGACAAACAAGTGAATGAATGAATAAATGAATGAATGAATGAACAAGAAAGGAACTGAAGAATACACATAACCTATAAGCAAGTGCTGTAGGACATGCTCAGAAAAGGAATATCACATCCAGAAACAATTCAATAAGGCAGAGCTAGGGCCTGGACTAGAATTATCTACCAGCCCTAGTTCTGGTAGAAGAGTGAGGCAGTGGTGTCCAGAATAGGCCAGCCTATTTAACCCTGGGACTGGGAGCACAGACCCTCAGATTAAATCACAGATTACTATCTGTGTGAACTTCATCATTTAGCCTCTTTTTGTCTCAGTTCCCTCTTCTATAAAATAGGGATAAAAATACTCACTCCATATGCTTGTGGGGATTACATATACTATATGTACAGCCTCACAAATATCTGGCATGCAGTGATTTCTCAATAGAGGGTAACTGCCATTAAATGGAAGATTCTGTTAAAAATGTATATCATGTAAGGTGATTGTCAGGAACAAATGAAGCAATGCATAGAGAACATTGGGTACATTGCCTAGCGTATGTCAGCACTGTATGCTTGCTATTGTTATTATTGACCTCATCTTTATTATTAGTGGAGCCCAAGATGAAGTAGCAGTGCCTTCAAAAAGGAGGCCAGGACCTAGCAGTGGAAAATCAGGAGTTCCATGGAGACAGGCATGCAGCATACGAGAGGCTAACTGCAATGATGCTGGGGAATGAGAGAACTTATAATCATTGAGCACACACCTGATTGCTCAAGGGAGGCCCAAAGACGTTAGGTAGTAATCAGCCAGGCTGAGCTATAAGAACACCCTGGCAAACCACGTCTCAGGTCAGTCTTGGAAATGATAACTCAATGTTGGGGCTGAGGAAGCTGAAGTACTTCTTGCCTAGCATCACTCTGGACCAGAGTAAGTTCCAACTGGCCATGGGGAAATCTGGGAGCAGTTATAGAAGAAGCAAGGCAACTGACAAGAAGGGGGTCTATAATTACAGGTGCTGGGAAGAGCAGTGAACCTTGGGCACAGTGAAGTGAATCGCAGATTTTAAGTTAAGGCAGTGGTCCTTAACTGTTCTGAGTTACAGACATTATCCTAAACCTGATTTAAATCATGGATCCATTGTTCTCACGAAAGGTTTACAAATTTGTCTGCAATCTCAGGGGTCTTATGAACACCCTGGGTTCCCTGAAACTCACACTGAGAGTGTCTAGACTGGGTGTTGAAAGTAGAATTTGGTTGGAAGTGCCTTTTGGTATGGTGACAGCAAAAGCATAAATGAAACATAAAGAGTCCTGTTGGGCTTGGATGGAGTGGTCCTGGGTGGAAGTGGTGGGAAATAAGTTTAGGTAAATATGGAGAGATAATTTGTGGAAATTGCCTGCTGAGCTGAGAAATTCAAATTTGACTGATAATTGGCAGGAAGTCACTGCTCTTGGGAGGCAGAGACAAAATAATATTTCAGATAGTTGATCCTGGTAGTTATGTGTAGGTTTGATTGAAACAGATAATCCCACAAAGATTGTTGAGAAATTGTAAACATCTTGGTTTGGAAGTAATCATCACTCATGAAGGGCTGAAAGAAAAAGGAATTTGTTCAAGAGAAATATACAAGTGTTTCTTGAGTGCAACCCTGACTTCTCTTAGGTCTAAACTCATCCAGTTACTTCCCTATTGGAAAAATCCACTTGGATGTCCTGGTGCCACCCCTATATCAACAAATTCCCAAATAGAATCCATCATTTTCTCTCTTAAATCTATTATGGCTATAATAGGCCAAGTGTTAATTAAATACAGTGTAACTGGTTTGTCAAACCTGCACAACCAGTGGGACAGCAATTTATTTTTGCTCCTTCTGCCCATTTAAAATTATTAAGTGAAAATCTGGGCAGA